GTTCTAACAGCCGCTCGCGCCCGGGTTCGGGACCCCCCGGCCCGGCTCACTCACCATTTCTTGTCGTCCGGGATGTCCCCGCGGCCTCCTGGGTCTCCCTCCCGCGGCAGAGTCCACGCAGTCCTCAAGGAACCGCAGAGGCGCGAAACCGAACCGGGCCGAGGCAAGACCGGACGAGCTCGTGCGACCTTCCCACGTCACCAGCTCCTAACGGAAGTAGACAGCGTTGAACTGCCCGCGGGACCCACCCCTCGACTCCTGATTGGCACTACTCGCGCCACGCCCCACCACAGGCCACGCCCCCCCGACGCGTGACTGACAAGACAAGCGCTCAGACACGTGAACCAGAGGATCAGGTGCCCGGCAGGCCAAGCAGACTCCCCAGTCCCAGCTCCCCCGGAGAGTTTTTGCATTTCAGCAGATCCTGCTCCTGGGTTTCCAGAGCGGGCTGGCCAGCGTCTTCCTGCCCTTAGTGGAATCTTGTTGGTTTTTCCTCCTGGACTTGGGGATAACAGTGAGCTCAAGGAATTCCAGTAGCCAATGGCCCTGGTCTCTGGGCCTCAGAGAGGAAAGAACACCTAGCCCAGGCCATACTGGAACCGGAGAGAGACGCACATGACCTCTAGAGAGGATGGGAGCTGGCCCATATGGCCAACATGCTCCCTGGCTTCCTGTCTGAGCTCACAGAGGTGGAGAATCCACTCCAGACTCCTAAGAACACAAACCTTTCTCACCTCTATGGGCCCACTGGATATTCTAACTCCAAGGAGCAAACTGCAGTAACAGCATAGTGTAGGAACTGTCAACGGAAAAATAACCAACTGTAAAATTAATAATGAATACGGCTTATTTCCAAGCCAAATATGAGTGACCTAGGCCCGGAGAAGAGTCATACATGCCTTTCCCCGGGTGGTTATGTACGGGGTTCCTTTTATTTGTTTTTGAAATTGACAACATTTAGTGAAAAGATTTTCCCTTGGCCAAAAAGGCAGGACATGTAGAGGGGGGGGAGACCTTGTAGGTTATAGGTGAGTTCCACAATTCTTAGGTTGGTGATTAGAAGGGAAGATCTGTGTCTTGGGAAGAGATTAAAGAAAGGCTTAATCTACATCTCAAGGAAAGGGAGGTTCTGTGTCTTGGGAAGAGATAAGCAGAAGAATATACTCCCAGGGGGGATGGTCACGCTGCAATCCCTTCTCCTCCATTCTCCTCTCGGGATCTTGGGCACGCACGCACACGCGCCCGGTGTGAGTTTTAAGCCACCGGGTCCGGGACATGAACCGCGGTCGACTACATGGGAGTCCAGCGACATAGCCATTACACCAACTGCTGGTCCCCAGTTGTTTTTTTTTTAAAGAATTATTTATTTATTATTATTGTATTTTAATTTGATCACAGAGAGACAAAGACAGAAAAAGAGGAAAAGTGAGAAAGAAACCACCAGGTTCGGGACTTGAGCTACAGCTGGCCATGTGGGAGCCCAGCACCTTAACCACCGTGCTGCCTGCTGGTCCCAACAGGTGTATTCTTTTTTACCTAATTTTATCTATTTATTATTTTAATTTTAAAATTATTATTCATTTTTTAAAAATTATTTTATTTAAATTTATTTACTTACATACATACATCTGACCAGAGAAGGACAGAGAGAGAGAGAGAGAAGGAAAATGAGAAAGCAAGCCACCAGGTTTCAGAGTCGAACAGCTGTAGGCTATGTGGGAGTCCAGAGCCCTTAACCACCACACGACCTACCAAACTTGTTATTATTTAATTTGACAAAGGAGAGACAGAGAAGGAAAGTAAGATGCTAGATCCGGGACTTGAACTGTGGTCAGCTATGGAAGAGTTCAGCACCTTTAACCACCATGCCACCTGCCAGCCCCTATTATTATTATTTTTAAATTTGACTACAGAGACAGAGAAAGGGAAGTGAGAAAGCAAGCCACCAGACCCAAGGCTTGAACCATGGTCTACCATGTGGGAGTCCAGACCACATCACCTGTCCACCAGATACAGTTGCATTTTAAAAACTGACCTAAAAATATTTCCCTCATTAGTCATATGAAGGCACTGCTAATAAATTAGGTTTAGCTACACAAAAATCCCTAACCCTTCTAGAAAATATTATATCAAGGATAGATTGAAGTTTACATCTCACTTTTTTGTGGTTTTTGAAATTTTTGCTTCATGGGGCCAGCAGGTGGCATGGTGGTTAAGGGCACTGTGGTTCAAGTCCTGGACGTGGCGGCTTACTTTTTCACTTTCTCTCGGGTAAAATTAAAATAAATAAAGTTAGATAAAATATTTAAAAAAAAAAAAAAAAAAAAATTTTTTCCTTGAGGGG